CAGACACTTCCTAGCTGTGTGACTTTGGGAAATTACTAAATCTCCACGATTGTACATTTCCGTATCTTTAAAATGGAGATGAGACCTGCCCTGCATCTCAGGGTACACTGAAGCATTAATATGTGTGTGTGTGTGTTACTTTTGAGAGAGAGAGAGAGAGAGAGAGAGAGAGAGGGGTAACTCCAACAGACTTTACACCACAGTCCACCCCTCCTCTCAGCTGACCTAGACCCAAGGCACATGTATGTTCCTGGCGTGCTCAAAGAGGTCCCAGGCCACGAACCCAGGACCTATTCCATGTGGGCCCGGTTGCATTACCACTGGACCATCATCTGGCCTGGCAAGGAGATCTTGAACACTTAGTGATCAGAAGTGTCTTTGTAAGTGACAACGACAATATTTCATTTAACAGTGTCTCGAGTTTTATTCTACCCATGTTTAGCTTTTCACTGTTGCAGTGTTTTCCCACCCAGCTGTATGTGGCTGGGATTATGTCTTTTGATATTCTAAAACACAATTTACATATTGTAGGCACCAAAAAAAGTTCATTCGTTCCTTGGCATCTATCTGTTTTTGAGAGTGTTAGATGGTGAGGGTACAAAGATGAGTAAGACATATCCCTGCTTGGATACAGGTTTTTTTTTTTTTTTTTTTTTCCAGGGAGTCGGGGGGAATGGGGTAAAGAATTATTATATTGCCAGAGAGTGACAAGTGAAGGGAGAAAGAGACAGAGAAAGTGAGAAAGCACTGCCATGGGGCACGGTCATGCCACAATCCCTTCTCCTGCATCTCTCCTTTCAGGATTCTGGGCATGCATCACATGCGCTTGGTGTGTTTTTCAAGCTGCTGGCTCTGGGACTTTAACCACGTAGTCAGTCACATGGGATCCAGCTGCCTTAACCACCGTGCCTCCGGCTGACCCTAATCATTCGTTTATAAATCACTACTACACAGTGTCAGCACTAAACACTGTCTAGGGAGTGATGGCCAGTGCTGTCTCTGCCAAGACCTTGTAAAAAGATAGCTGTATTTAATGAGGGCCAAGACTCGCGCTCTATGAGCACTAATTTGTTGGCTTAAGACACTGTATAGATGAATATCTGACTAAAAGCCTTCTGGAAAAAGAAAGGTTCAGTGGAGGGGTTCAAATGCATCTCCTTTGTCAGGCCTTGTGATCTGTGCCAAAGTCCCAGGGATTGTGGCCTTTGAGTTCAAACGAAAATATTAGTTGACCATTCAACTGGAATTTGTTGAAGTTTTCAAATGGGAAATTTGCTGAAATAAACGTAACCATTGATGTTATTATAATGCTTCTATTTAAAAGATAATTGTTTTCTTCAGACGCAGGTCTTCCTTTAGAAAACAAAGGTCAATTCTATAGGCTATCCACTTTAATTTTAAATGTATATGCATCTCAAACTTGTAATATTAGCAATGATTTACATACTACTTAAAAGCTGCATAATGACTTATTATTCTAATTGTTCAAAGGTGACCTTACTAAAAGCTAAAAGCCAATACACTAGATTAAAATAGAAATGATCTGATTGGAAAACAAAAGAGCCCATGGGACCAGCAGTTGGCATAATGGCTATGTTGCTGGACTCCCATGTAGTCGACCACGGTTCGAGTCCTGGACCCGGTGGCTTAAACTCATGCCGGGCGTGTGTGTGTGTGTGCCCAAGATCCAGAGAGGAGAATGGAGAAGGGATTGCAGCGTGACCATCCACCTTGGGGGATGACTTCTCGCTTTCTGTCTCTCTTGTCTGGCTCTGTCTTTCTGGCACACGCACACGCCCTATAGCCAAAAAAAGAGGAAAAGAAGCCCTACCTGCCTTACTTTCTAAGCAAAATACATTTGCAATACATATCTTAGAGTTAATATCTCTAATATGAAGGAATCTTACAAATAAATAAAAAAGATAAAATACCAATAAAAAGTTGACAAATTATAAGAATAATTCATGGAAAAGGAAATTCAAATGGTGAAGGACATGCAAAATAAGATGAATGTTCTTTTTCTTCCTTTAATTGACAGAGAGTAAAGAAAGCATTTCCAGTGTTGGCAAGAACACATAGAAAGGACTTTTCATATAGTGCTTCAGGAGAATAAATTGCTATAATATCTTAAGAAAGAACTGTACAGAAATTAATAAATACGTATTCTCTAGGAATCCTGTCAATGGCAATGAAAGTGCCATATTTAAGGATAGCTAAAAATCCCACAGTTTTCGGTTGTTAGGGTGCCTACAAACTGGAAATAACCCACCCAGCAGTGCAATAAACAGCTGAAAAAATTATGTCATAGCTGCAAGTTACAATTGGAAAACAATAATAGAATGACGTTCGCTAATCTGGAGAGAGATCCATGACACACTGGAAGAAAACGGAGTCATCTGTATAGGATCTATTTAAAAATCCATGCTCTTTCTCTTTATAATAAAATACATATAACGTGATTTATTTATTTTATTATATATAGTGTATTCCTTTTCTGTTACATATTTATATTAACAAGGAAGGAAGTATGGGAGGATGCATCTCTGGCATTAGCAATGTTTGTTAGGAAGATGAGATGGTGACCTCTTTTTAAATTTTTTGTTATTTGTAACAATAAATATATATTAACTAAAAAGTTGGAAAAAATGTTAAATAAAATCAGAATATAAATAAATGAATGATTAGAACTCACAATGAAGTACTGGGGGGAAAATAAGGATTATTTATTGTTACCTACTGTAATACTATTGCTATGTTAAGACTTCACTAATTAAAGTAAGGAAAAGATTAAAGTTTGCACTATTATAAAGTTGTCCCAATTCAGATTTAGATGAGTCATCTATAAGCCAATTTTCCACATTATTGAAGATGGGAAAAATAAGTAGCGGCATCAATGAAGCACTGAGCTCTAGATCTCAAACATTTTCTTTTTCTTTCTTTTCCACGTGTTAGTATAATTCGTCCCTTTAGTCAGCCTTGTATTTCAGAGTGTAAGTCCCATCTCTTCCTGTAAAGTCAATTCTTAACCGGAATCTAGAAAAAGTTTACTTCTCTATATCTCTTTTGGACACTTTTCTTTGCTCAATTAAAAGCTAAAGGGATTAGTCCAACATCACACATGTATTTACTGAGTACCTTGTATTAGAAGTTAAGAACCTAGAAACACTGGCAGCAGGTGTCATGGTGGATAAGGCACTAGACTTCCACATGGCTGACTCCAGTTCAGGTCCTGGACCTGGTGGCCTGAAAATCATGCCAGGCGCATGTGCATATGTACCTAAAATCCTGGGAGGAGAATGGAGGAGAAGGGATTGTGGCGTGGTTATCTCCCCTGGAGGGCAATTTCTCACTTTTCATTTCTCTGTCTGACTCTGGTGAGTGCATGCACCCTATGGCAAAACCTAAAAGACAAACCAAAAAAAAAAAACTAGAAATGCTTTCTTAGGGTAAGGAGAAAGATGTTTTCTTTTCATTCAAGACAACTCTTTCTCCAAGTTTTAATGATACTATTGTCTTTCATCAATTTCTGAGACATACCTATTTCTCACATCTCAAAACCTCAGAGGTGTCTTAAAATGCTGGCGTGCTGTGGTTTGCTAGCTTCATTTCTTAGAGGAACAAGAATATAGGGTGCCTCTTATAGTCAGTAGCACTTAGGCTTGATAAAATACAGTAGAGACAAGAAAATGGAGAAAGCAGAGCCTCATCAGAACACGGGGCTTTTCAAACATGAAATCCAAGTAATCTGGGACACAGAGGACAGTAAGGTGGTGCCATGTGAGTAACTAGAATTTTTCTTTGCCTACACCATGACCTTGGGAAATTGTGGTCTTTAAAAACCGTAAGTTGGGGGGGGCAGCAGGTGGCGTAGTGGTTAAGGCTTTGGACTCTCATGTGATCAACCACAGTTTGAGTCCCAGACCCGGCGTCTTGAAACTTATGCAGGTGTGTGTATGCCCAAAATTCTGAGAGGAGAATGGAGAAGGAATTGCAGCGTGGCATTCGCACCCCCCAGGGGGAGGGGCGACTTCTTGTTTTCTGTCTGTCTCTCCAGCAAGTGCACATGCCCTATAGCAAAAATTTCTAAAAAAAAAAAAAACCACCATCACCTGGGACCAGCAGTTAGCGTAATGGCTATGTTACTGGACTCCCATGTAGTCGACCACGGTTCGAGTCCAGGATCCATTGGCTTAAACTCAAGCCGGGCACGTGTGCGTGTATGCCCACGATCCCGAGAGGAGAATGGAAGAGAAGGGATTGTGGCATGGCCATCCCCTTGGGGAGTGATTTCTCACTTTCTGTCTATCTTAGTCTGTCTTTGTGGCTAGCACATGCATCCTACAGCAAAAGCCTCTCTAAAAACAAAACAAAACAAACAAACAAACAAAAAAACAAAAACCACCACCAATTCCCCCCAAAAAACCCCCCCAAAACCAAGAAAAAGAACTTTGAGAATAAGCAGTCCAAAAACTGAGTTTCATGGAGTCTTATGGAGCTTTGCCTTTTTTTACTACCTCTCTCTTGAGCAGGGGAAAAATTCACTTCAAGATGGGATAGAGACTAATCTTACAAAGCGATAATTTAAAAGAGGAAGTAAAGGATCTTTGAGATGCCTTAAAAGCTTGTAAATCAAAAACATTTAAAAATATTTGATAATCTTGGGGAATCAATTTATACTCAATAGTGCATTGAGGACTTTTAATATATAATTGGAAATTAGTTGAATTACTCTATAGGAAGAGTTAGAATAAATATGTCATTTCAACTGAAATATTATGCAAAGAGCATGACCAAAGTAACACTCAAATTTCTTTCATGATAAATATTGTCTCGGTTACTGTAGTGCCGTATAGTCTCTGCATCTCTGCATCCATTTGCTGCTTTATTTCTTGGCTGGAATCAAATTTCCGAGGACAGATTTTTATTCAATGCGAATGCTTTCATTAGGCAAAACTCTTTGGAATACATTTAACAGAATTAAAAATATTCCATTCACTTACTTGAATTCCAAAAGGTTCATTTCATGGCGATAATCCCCCTGGACCATCTTTAAATTTGAGGTCTGCTCGGAAGTGGAAGTCTCTATCTTCCCTAGGAGCTGCGTGACCTAATGAAAGTACAAGAGGGAGCTTTTTTGTTGTGAACAAAACCGCCAGCACTTATGTTAATTATTCTTTATTCCTAAAGGACCGGGAAACAGATTTGAACCTACAGCACGTTTGCATTTGAAATGATTGTTTCAAATGAGTATGATTCACAGTTATAGTCATACTATCTTCAGGGAAAGACTGACAGGAATGTTCGATTGTGCTCTCTATAATATTGTTTTTATAATTGGCTATCCCATGACATGGCAAAAACATACTATTGCCATTAGTTTATTATTTTCTTAGCCTATTTTTTTTTTTACTTTCTGTCTCTCCAATTACAATATAAGCCACTACATCTTGTCACCACTCTATCCTCAGTGCTGATGTTAAAAACTCAGCAGATACTTAGTGAATGTGTTGAAATGCACAGTTAGGCTCCGAGGAAAACACGTGACTGGCCTAAGATTAGGCTTCAGTGATTTCCAGATAGTATTTTGACCTGAACACATGTGGATCCCAAGTGAAATGACTTAATGCATATAAAGATAGGAAAAAAATGATTTTCTAGGATCTGTAATTTGGGATAAGAGCTCCTTCCACATTGCCAGAAACATGAAAAAATTCCTTTAGGTAAGAGAATTGGATTAAAAATATATAGATGCAGAAGGTCTAGCAGGTGGTGTGGTGATTAAGGGGGCTGGAGTGCCACATGGTCGACCATGGTTCGAGTCCCAGACCTGGTGGCTCGCCTTCTCATTTTCTCTCTCTCTCTCTCTCTCTCTTCTCTCTTCTCTCTCTCTGGCTCTGTCCCTCTCTGGTCAAATTAAAATAAATAAATGAATAAAAAAATTAAATAAAATATTAAATATATATTAAAAAAATATATATGCAGAATCACAGTATGTAATCGGGCCTAAGCTAGTCATTGTCAAGGGGAATCAAACTGCATGATGGCACTGGCCAAACAAGACTGAACTGAAATAGTTTTATGGAGAAGAGGCACTTAACAAAATCAGAGTTCTCTCAAGAGACAAAGGTTAATAATGGAAGGGTCTGAAGAGAGAAATGTTAAATAGACAACCAACAGCATTTGAATGGCTGTTGATAGGAGATACAGTTAAAAGAGGGGAAAGGTAGAAATGTTAAAAATAAAATAATGGATAAATATATGCCTGACAGAAGCAAAGGAAAAGAAAGCATGTGATAGAATATTAATATTAGATTAAATATTATTCAAGACAAAATATGTTAAAAAGTGTGGAGGGGACAGGACTGTAATGTGCTCATTCCCTCCCCCACTTGCCTCTTCTCTCTCTCTCCCCCCCCCTTCCTCCCTGGACAGTGCATGCACCCTCTAGCAAATGGAAACCAAACCAAAACAAAACAAAACAAAGGTAAAAAGTGGGACAAAGATGGTCATTCTATGGATGAAGAGTAATCTACAGTGAAAAATAAAGAACATTCAACCTTATGTACTTTATATATTGAACTAAAAAGCAACAAATTTTTAGGATAAACAGACAACATATTAGTAATTTTGGATAGCTTTTTTTTTTTTTAACTTTTCAATGACGAGTAAATAAAGTACAAAGATCTAGGAGGACATTAAAAACAAGAATTTTATTGAATACATTATAAACCAAACTTGTAAACACTCATTCTTTCCCAGTGCCTATGAACATTTGCAATAACTGAACACACATCTGAGGATAAAGAGACTCTCAAATCTCAAATTATTCTACAAAGCAGGAACAGCACAGGCCCTAACCCTAACTTACGCTGCACTCAAACCAGAAATTAAGTATGAAGAAACAAAAATTCAATCATTCAAGTCAAAAAACATTCTTTTAATTCTAGTATTTAGTTCTAATGCTTCACATGAAAATGGGCCTCTCAGATTTGTAAGGACGGTATTTGGCTGGGGCGTTGCCTGCTGCGCTCCAAATCTATCATCTGCTGCCACCATTCTTCCCATTGGCTGTTTCCAGGCAATGTCTCAGTAGTATTCCTTAATGGGTAATACTGGTTCAAGGAATCTGATGAGATGCTCTCAGAATGACATTGCAGTCTAAGGCTTTCCTCTCCCCACCTTTTACACAGAAACCAGACCTGTATCACAATTTGCCAATTCCTGGTCTTGTTTGGCTCCCTCCCCATTTTTTCTCATAGGTTTTTCCTCAGTAAATCTCTTGCACACCTAATTCCTTTATGGCATTTTCCCCTTAAAGGATCTGCTCTGACGCAAGTGTCAAAGCGTAAATCAACACCACATTTACACCTTAATTGCATAATAAGAATATTACAGGACTGAAAAGTACATTTATAGTTGGTTTCTTGGAGAAAAATTAACATTAAGGCACAACTAACCTAATGGGGAGGGACACAAAACAATACAATGGCACAAGGAAATAAATAAAAGAGAAAATGAAAACTATTCCGTTTTTTTTTTTTTTGCACAACTTTGTACAAATAAATTTCAAAATGTGGGTGAAACACATGTTTTTGTCAAGAAAAAGTAGCTTACTTGAGCTGAACTCTGAAGAGATAGAAAGTTTAAATACATCAATTTCCTCAGAAAAAATACTGAGGAAAGATAAGCAGTTGTAAGAAAGAATGAGGAGCTCTCTATGTACCAATATGGAAACATCTCTACAATTTATTTGTTTATAAAAAAGACAGGTACCTAGCAATATAAATAATATACTCTCTCTTATGAAATAAAGGGGAAAATGAGAATATATATATATGCAAATATATATATTTGCATTGCTTGTATCTGCATGAAGGTGTACTGAAAGGACTGAAAATGGACAAATAAAAATGGTTACCTGCAATGGTCGTGAATGGTAACAGGGGTGAGAATAAACATTCTCTGGTTATATTTTCTTATATAGTTTTGATTCTTAAACCATATGTATTCATTATCTTAAAGAAAATTAAGCAGAGTTAGAATTATATTCTAATGTAATCTTTGAACTTAGATGCAAAATAAAATACTGAATTATTACACAAACCTGTATAACTGTCATTACAGAAATGCAAGAATCTTTCAGACTTGGGAAATAAATGAGCACAATAGAAGGTCAGAGGCATACACACCCCCAGTGATTGGTATGGTGATTTTAGGTATTTATTGAAGTCTAAAGGCTTTGATAACGTTAGATGTTCAGTACTGATAAAAACTAACCTTAACACGATTAAAAATACTCCTGATTAGGCCAGCCAGGTAGTATGGTGCTGAAGGTGGCTGAATCCCACATGGCTGATTAAGCAATTTGAGACTCAGACTCCACAGTTTGAAAACCACACAAGGCACATGTATGTGTATGCCCCAGATCCCAGGAGGATAATGGGTGAGAAGGGATTGCAGCATGGTTGACCCCCTGGGGGATGATTTCTCACTTTCCCTTTTTCTCTTTTTCTCTCCAGCGAGTACATGTATCTATAGCAAAACTAAAAAACAAAACAAAATCTTCAAACCTATAGTGAATAGTAAAGAAAAAAGACTTTCTCAGTAGAATCAGGAACCAGATAAGTTGCCTTCTCTGGCCACTTTATTTAGCAGTGTTCTGGAAGTTCTGGTCTAGGTCATTAAAAAAAAAAAAGTGATGAGATTTCAAAAAAATTTAAGAATGATTTATTTTATTTTTCATTACTATTATTATTTTAAGATTTGCAACAGGGCACATGTGCTTAGCAGAGAGAGTGAAAGCAACACAGAGAGAGAGATGGCGGGATGAGAAAGCAAGCTGCCACGTCTAGGACTCGAACTGTAGTTGGCCATGTAGGAGTCCAGCAGCTCAACCACCACGCCACCTACTGACCCCAGAAAAAAAATAGATTTTAAATCAGCAAAGTAGAAATAAAATTGCCATGATGTGTTGTTAATGTGATTGAGTACCTTGAAAAACTAAGAGAATCAACCAAAAAAAATTATTAAGACTAATTAGATAGGTGATAGGGAGTGGGACAACAGGGCCAGGAGGGACAGAAGTAAACAGCATGCCCCAGCAGCGTCTGCTCTTGATTAGCTGGTCCCACCAAAAAAACCCGAACTCATATCCCCAGTTCCCGGAGGATTCCCACTTTGTTTTGCCTAAATAAGCACAGAGAGATATTCTTGTTTTATATAAGGTATGTGACACAGGAGCACAGAAAAGTTTGCACTGGGCTCTTCTTTTAACCATTGACTGAAAAGATTGAAAAAGAGAAAAAAATTTAGGCAAAAAAGAGCATGAACGGGTGGAGGACGTGCCATACATTGGTCTGAGTGGGCACCTACCTGCAGGTCGCTTAGTCACACACAGCATAAAGGGTAAGTCAGGAAGCACAGGCAATGAGCAGGTGCCTTTAAGGACTTCCATGTTATTTTGTAAGAGATACAACCGACTGCAGGATTGATCAACTCACATTTTTGTCAGACTTTTAGTAACAAGAGCTTTCATGGGAAATTCTTTTGCTTATGATCCCTGGTTCCAGTCTTTGAGGGAAACCCAGAGAGTAAGGAGATAATGACAATGGTGGAATGGAGCAGGATATGCTGACAGTGGTGGCTGGGTTAGAACATGTAGGAGGCATATTCAATATTGTTGATTGAACTGACTGTACTCATGGTGTATATGAATGAGCTGTTGTATTTAAACCCCATGGGAGAAAAGTTTTTTAAGCAATTACCACCTGACTGGGCATTTTGATAAGCTATAATAATCTTACTCTGGCAATAACAGGTAGTATGAGTCCCATCTATTTTCAGTTACCTTCATCTCCAAGTTCTTGGAAACAGTTTCTAGGGCAGACACGAGCTCTTGAATGGCTTTTTCAATTTGCCGGTACTCGTGTCTGAGGAGATGCATGTCTCCAGAAAGTTTCATAATACTTGAATCACATCTAGTGACAAGACGGAAATCGGTGGTAGGGTTAAGAGGCTCATAACAGTTTAAGAACCATAGTAGCGGGACTAGCAGTTGGCGTAATGGCTATTTTGCTGGACTCCCATGTAGTCAACCGCGGTTCGAGTCCTGGACCCGGTGGCTTAAACTCACACCAGGCATGTGTGTGTGCACGTCCAAGATCCTGAGAGGAGAATGGAGGAGAAGGGATTGTGGCATGGCCATCTCCCCTGGGGAGTGATTTCTCACTTTCTGTCTTTGTCTTTCTGGCAATGCACATGCCCTATAGCAAAAACCTCTCAAAAAAACAAAAACAGAAACAAAGACAAAAACCATAGTAGGATCTGTATGTTGATTTGGTGGGATAAGTTCTAAAGTTCTTTGAATAATGAGTGGTAGCTGTAGAAGCATATTAGAAATCTCCTTCATTGTTCTCTTCTCTTCTTGATGGGAGAAAAACTAGGTTGGATAGCAGAGGAGAACCGGTTGGAATTGTTTTAAAGGGGCATGAGGTGCACTGGGCAAATTTTACATTTAGGCTGGTATTAAATCAGTTTGGGAGTTAAAATGATTTTGATGTTTTGGATTACATGCTGTAACCAGACTGATGGTTAATTATCAGTTTCAATGCAGCCTCATGTGTACTTGAAAGAGGATGGACAGCTCTGAAGGACGGTGTCTTTTGCATACTTGAACTAGCAGGGATCATTTAGACATTTGCCATAGAATGAAATAATGGTTTTCACTGTCAAGTAACATTAGGAACTGCATTTTTTTTTTTTTTTGAGAGGTTTTTGCTATAGGGCGTGTGTGCTCACCAGAAAGACAGAGAGAGACAGAGAGACAGAAAGCAAGAAATCACCCCCCATCGAGTATGGCCACACTGCAATTCCTTCTCCTCCATTCTCCTCTCGGGATCTTGGGCATGCACACACACACACACACACACACACACACAGCATGAGTTCAAGTCACTCATCCGGGACTAGAACCACAGTCGACTACAGGGGAGTCCAGCAACATAGCCATTGTGCCATCCGCTGGTCCTAGGAAACGCGTTTCCATGTTGTACAAAAAATATTGACTGTCAACACTTTTTAGGATCCAAAAATAAACTTTTTCTAATGTTTAACAAATGATTTAAGATACTAATTAATAAGACTCCCAATGGAGACCACTCATAGTCTCATTGATCATGCAGTTCGAGTTCTGGACCTTTCAGCTTGAAAAACCCTATTGGCCACATGCGTGCCCAAAATCCCAAAGGAAAGAGAAAAGGAAGAGAAGGGATTGTGAGTTGACCATGCCCATGGTGGGAGGTGGAGGTGATGAATGTAAAGCATCTCATCCCAGTACCTGGCACAGAGGTGGGGCCACACAATTAGCCTTTATTTATCTACTCATTTCGAGAGTTGCCAAGTATTCATTCTCTCCTCCTTCTCCACCTCCCACCCAGTCTAACCCCACATGTTAGAGTCAAAGGTTGATTATTGCTTATTCGAAGCTACACTTATTCTCCAAAAGAAAGTTTCCCCAACCCCTCCATTTTTAGAATGATTTTATTGTTTGTAATAGTACAAACCCATTATAAAAATTTTTTACATAATACAAAAAAAAAATAAAAGAACAAAGAGGAGTGAGTTAACATCATTTCAAATCCTACCTCTCAAAAATAATCACAGTTGGTGTTTGGGGATCTTTGAATGTTTCTGGCCACAGGCAAAAAATGAGTGGGTGTGTTTGAGGGGGAGACCAGGTCCTCTCTCTAGGCTGCATTATCAAATCAGATATGTCCTTCCTGAGGCCTGGGGGTGGGGACACATTTTCTTCCCATTGTACTCTCAGAAAACACACTGGGGGCTGGCAGGTGGCATGGTGGTTAAGGGTGCTGGACTCCCACATGGGCAATTATGGTTTGAGTCCTGGACCTGGGCACTTGCTTTCTCATTTTCTCTCTCTCTCTCTCTGACTTGTCAATAAAAATAAATAAATAAAATTTAATAAATAATTCTCAAACACACACACACACACACACACACACACACACACACACACAGGGCTAGCTTGCAGTAAACCAGTCAGTCATAGAGTCTCTGTTGTGTCACCTTCTTCATGTCCTTTTCTGCCTCAGCTTGTAACAATGCTCCAGTTTCTCTCAGGTGTGAATTGGCAAGGAGAGAGGGCCTAGATGATGGGAAGGGTAAAGGGCAGGCTTTTATCTTCGGCTACATGTCCTAGCTGTTCTGTGCTGCTGACCCAACTCTCCGAAGGAGCATTTCCTCTCTCTCCAAAGACCCTCCTAAACTTCTAGTTATGTGGCTCTTGACTTGGGGGAAGTCATTGCATTCGAGGTCTAAGAAGGTCTACCAGGCTAAACGTTGGAGTATTTGGTTATGTGTGCTGTTTCTGGTTAGCAGCTGCGGCCACCTTCATTTTACATTAAAGTTAGAATTTTTGTTTTCATTCTTTTAATTTTTACTGGCACTGAGAAGTCTCAAGTGAAAGGAATGAAGTAAAATGCTTTTATTTTGCCATTTTAAACCAGAAGTATTCCTTCGCTCTGAAATTGGATAGTATCCATAATATGATGTTTCTTCAAAGGATATGATTTTTATGTTTTTCTTAAATTAGGTGCTATTTATTTCAAAACTAGTTTATGTGAACTTTTTTGTTTGTTTTCAAATATTTATTGTTATTTATGATTTACATCTATTCATTATGCATGAATGGGTATGGAAGGGTCTTTAAAAACATGTATATGGTATGTAATAAACAAATCAAGGATATAAACATATTCACCACCTTCAGCATTTAACATTATAGTATGTTGTGAACATTCGAAACCAGCTCCACTGGTCATTCTGGATGTATGTACAAGATTGTCTGTGGTGGTCTTTACTGTGAAATACAGTTCTAAAGAAAAACAAATTGATTAAAAATCAGACAACAAAAGCATCACAGATTAATGAGGATGATTCTCTCTTTTTTTTTTTTTTTTTGAGAGGTTTTTGCTATAGGATGCAGGTGCTTGCCAGAAAGACAGAGAGAGACAGAGAGACAGAAAGCGAGAAATCACCCCCCAGGGGGATGGCCAAACCACAATCCCTTCTCCTTTCTCCTCTCAGGATCTTGGGCACGCACGCACATGCGCCCAGCGTGAGTTTAAGCCACCTGGTCCAGGACTCGAACTGCAGTCAACTACATGGGAGTCCAGTGACATGGCCATTACACTAACTGCTGGTCCCGAGGATGGGTTTTTGAAAGCAAAAATAATCTTAACACAGCCAATGAAAGAAGAATTTGTAATTTCTATATTAGAGTACTTGGAAGATAAGAGTTTATAAACGGAAAAGATCTGTGGTATCAATCATTGATGCAGTTAGAGATAGGTAAAATTATACCTAACAATAGCTCATTAGGAAGAGATGGAAAAAAGAAAACGTCTACTCACTCACTATGAGTTATTGGAAGATTATAGTACTTTACTATGCATAAAGAAATAAGTCCTCAAAGAAGCGAAACAAAACTGGAAAGAGATGTTAAGAATTGAAGATATGATAAAGTCAGTGATTTGAGGGTCTATAGGCTTTACAAAGTTCTTGATTTTAGCCTTCTCTAAATTCATTACAAAGGCAGACTGAGCCACTTGTAACATTTTTGGCTGATATCTTTTTTACAAGTAATGGTTTTATATAATAAGTATTGGTTATATATATATATATATATATATATATAGAGAGAGAGAGAGAGAGAGAGAGAGAGAGAGAGAGAGAGAAACCTGTAGACACAATGGTCTATCAAATAGTTGATGACTTTGTACTTATGTATCTACTTGTGTGTAAAATAGCTGAATCTGTATTTTTAGGCTCTTCATTTGAGAAATTTAATCCTGATGTTCAATGTTACTATCAGTATGTGTGAACTCACCCCCCCCTTTTATTCTAGTTGCCCATTACGCTAACTGCTGGTCCCTTTAGTTGCTTTTTCTAGTTGTGTTCTCTTATTTCTATTTATCTCCCTTTAGTTACCCTGGTGTAGTTTTCCCTTAAGTATTTCTTAAAGAGCTGGTTTAGTTTTGGTGAATTCTTTCAGCATTTGTTCATCTGGGAGTGATTTTATTTCTCCTTCTTAATTGAAGAATAATCTTGCTGGGAATAGTACTCTCCACTGAAATTCCTTTTCTTTCAGAGTTTTAAGTTTTACCTTTGTCTTCCCATACTTTCCTCACTTGCATTGTTTCAGTTGAGAGGTCTGATGTTAGTGTAATGGAGTAACCCTTGCAAGTAACTAGGCATTTCTTTCTTTCCATTTTTAGAATTTTTGTCTTTCTCTTTAATTTTTAACAATTTGGCTATGATATGCCTTGAAGAGGATCTTCTGATGCTATTTCTATTTAGTATCCTTTGTATTTCCTGGATTTGGATGTCTGCATGCCTAAATTTGGAAAGTTTTCAGCTAATATGTCAGGAAAGAGATTTTTAAATGTCTTTACCTGTTTCTTTGCCTTCTGGAATACCTATTATGTGGCTATTCAGGTTTTTGATGGTGTCTAGGATTTTCATATGTCATCCTGATTTTTAATGGTTATTCTTCTATTCTTTTTACTTGTTCAGACTAAGATGAACGTTTTGTCTTCAAGGTCAGAGATTCCTTTATGTGGTCTAATCCGCTATTGATACTTTCGGGGTGGTCGATTTCTTGCATCGTATTCTGTGATCGCTTGTGTTTTACATTGCTGGTGATGAGTTATTACGTTCTTTGGGGGAGGAATTTCCTGATTTTTTTTCTTGAAACTCTGCTTTGATTTTTAGTCACCTGATATTGACTTCACCCTACTTCTTTGGAGTGTGTTTCTGTAGCTGTGTTCTCATGTTCTTCACTATGGTATATATTGGCTCTGTGCCAGTTTCCTTCTTCTGCTGTGGGTTGGAATGTGGAATTCACAGGAGCAGTCTTGGGTTCAAGTCCTCAGAGGGGCATTTCTCTTCTTTTACTGAT